ACTGCGCAGCAGCGACTTCAAGCAGCTCAAGCAAATGCCCGGGGCCCCTGCACGAGCGTGCCCAGCTGGGGCGGCGAGCTTTTGCCGAGGTCTTCTCCGCCTGAGACCCCCCCAGCGCGCTGGGCGCGCCGGAGTTGCTTGCCCGGGCAGTTTCGACAAGGAGGGGGGATGGAATTTTAGAGGATCAATGCGCAGAGATCGTCTCCGAAGTTGGCTCCGAGATACTAAACTATGGTTGCTTGTGCTCGAACCACCTCGCAGCGCGTTTTCCACGGCCCTCAACGCCACAGCGCCTCGAGGAATCCTCGGGCCAGCGAGAAGGGGGAGCGGAAGGCCTCGTTCTGTTTGGCATTGCAATGGTGGTGGCCCTGGGACAACGCCAGACTGGGAGGAGGTCTGCCTCCGAACGCCCTGTCGGGGCTAGCTCCTGGAGCACCGGGGATGTACGTTTACAAGGTCCCTTCCCAGAGTCAGCGCGATCGGCGTCGATCTCTGCCGCTTTGGATTCTCCGTTAGCAGGGGCGGGGAGCTGTCCAAGACACCCGTTCGCTTTCTGTCTAATTGCAGCCCCTTCCTGGAGCGATTTGCGGGGTCACGGTGCAACTGGGGCCATTTGCATGCTCGCCTGCTCGCGGCCAAGGCGCGGGCGCGCCCGCCCCAGTTCGCCCGCGCCCCGGCCGGGGCCGCGCGGGCCAGCGCGGGCGCGCCCGCCCCCGATCGCGCCCCGGGAGAGGCGGCCACTGCCAGGAGCGAGCCATTTGAAGACCTCCTCGTTCGTTCCCAGAGATCCAACGCATTGATAACATCAAGGCGGGTTTTTTTCGCAAATTTCGGCCCTTGGATGCCCTCGCTGGGCCTCGGGACCGACAAAAAAGGACTCAGGATGGAAAACCGGCCCTGGGGAATCGGTCGAGACTTCTGGGGGCCGCGCATTGAAAAAATCACGACGTCGGATCTCTGGGTTTCAGGGGGGACCGACCGAGGTCCAGGATGCCGGGCTGGAATGGGAAGGCCGGGCGGAAACGGCGGAAGGAGATGCGCTTGCTCAGGGGCAGCCTCCTGAGATAGACCCCGCGGGCGCAGATGCCTGCGCGCAGGGCGCGCGCGCGCGCGGCGGCCGCCCAGGCCGAGCCAAAAGCTTCGCGTTTCGTTCGGGAGGGCCGTCGGCGCGGGGGTTGCGAGGCGCGCCCCAGACCAGCCAGCGGCAGATTGGCCGCCGCACCTTTGGCCTTCGAGTCCAATCGCGGCATCGCCCTCGGCACCTTTCACGCCGCGTTCCGGGGCCAGCAGCGCGCGCTCCTGAGTGTCATTTGTCACGGGGCCAACTTCCAGTGGTCGATTTGTACGACGGGGCCGCCCTTGGCGCCAAGAACGCCTCCATGCGGTCGCGGGCCCGAGGCTATGGGCATCCCGCGTTTGCTATCGCGGGCGGCGGGCCAGAGTTCAAGGGGGAGTTCGACGGGGGGGGGGGCGGAACCCTTCGGAATTTCCCTTCACGCGACGGACTCGGAGAGTCATTGGCGAAACGGAAGAGCCGAAAGGCATGGGGGCTGGGTCAAGGACATTCTTTTGAAAGCCTCCGAGACTTCCCTGATCGCCGCCGCCTCGGAGCCAGAGGCCCTCGTTCACGAAGTGACGTCAGCCAATAATCGATTCCTTCGCCGGGAGTGTTCGCCCCATGCCAGCGCGCGTTCGGGGGTCGACCCTCGAATGCCCCGCGATATCATGGCGGACGAACCTCTCCAAGCTGTGGGTTCTGAAGGCCTTTCCCCCCCCCAGCGCTGCCCTGACAGGAGCAGCTTTCGGGTCATAACGTGGGTTTCCAGCCGTTCGGGGCGGTTCGGGCGCCCCCCGGGCGCTCGCGGTGAGGCGCAGACGCTGGAAGGCACCCCGAGGCACGCCGCGAACCAATGAGAACGTCAGAACACCTCTAACCCCGAAAACCCTCCTGAAGGCGTTGTTCCGGGGCCTTGGGGCCAGGGCGCGGCCGCCGCCGAGCGGGGGGCGCAGACTCGCCCGCCGAGGGCTTGTCGAGAGCTCGAGTCAACGTCGTCTTGTCCAGGCGGCGAAGGCTCCGATGCGCAATGATGGACATCTTGCTCCTGGGCAGTGGGTTCGCGGTTGGCGCCGAGCGCCTCGAGGAGGGTCAGGTCGGCCCGGGCCCGGCGGTTTTGCCAAGCGAGGGGCCATCTTGGCGGCCACGAGATCTCGTCTGTGGAAGTGCTCCTCGGAACAAGTCAGACGCGCCACCGCCGAAGAGTCCCGGGGGGCCGAATTGCTTGCGGGCGCGTCTGTCCGCCAGCTTCCGAGGAGGGCCCGGGCCGGCGCTCGCCGAGCTGGCGCGAGCGTTGCCGCGGAAGGGGCCCCCGCCTCCAGGCGCACGGGCACTGGGCGCCCCCGCGGAGGAAACGCCCCCTCCCGAGGTGGCTCCCCTGGCCTAGGCGGACAGCGGCGGAGCCGCGTCGGCCTTTCCGCCCTATCCTCCTCCTCCTCCTCCTCCTCCTCCTCCTCCTCCTCCTCCTCCTCCTCCTCCTCCTTCTGGCCAGGTCTTTGGACAGAGAGAGAGAGAGAGAGAACAAAAAAAGAAAAAAAAATCCTGGCGAAGGACCCAACCATATGCAATTGTGAGTACCGCAATTGTGAATATCTTCTTCGATGGCGCTCCCTATGGGGCCACGAACCGTATGAAGGTGTGCCGAATTGTGTGGCGTAGCCTCTGCAGGGGGCTTCCCTGGGAACCCCGAGGCAGCGCCCGCGCGCCGCGACGCTCATGTCGGCACGCCCCACACGAGGATCGCGCCCGCTTCCTCCACTCCTTTTTCCTTTTTCTTTGCCCGCGCACTCCAAAGTCCAAGGCTGCGGGCGCAGCGCAAGGCGGAGCCCTCGCGACGCGCGCAGGTCGCCCCGAAGGGGTTACAGTGACGCGCACGGTTCGTGCGCTGCGTGGAACACAGATTGCTTGTTGGCTAACTGATAGCGCGCATGGCTCTGGCCGCCGGGCGGAGCGACGACGGGCGAGCGAGGCGCTGGACAGAGCGCAGCGCGGAGTTCGCGCGACGCGCGCTGATCGCCCCGAGAGGGCCCCAGCGACGCGCGCAGGGCGTCCGCGGCGCGAGGCCAAACAGTTGGACAACCGAGAGAAGGCGCGGCTGCGGCGGGCCGCTCCTCAGGTCAGGCCTAGCGGATAAACTCGGGGCCACGAAACGTGCGAGGGGTCTGCCGAAATGGGTGTGCGGCACGCATGCGGGCACACCCGCTGGGACCTTCCTTGGAGCTCCGTATGGGGCCACGAAACGTGTGAGGGGTGTGCCGACATGGGTGTGCGGACGCAGGCGGGCACGCCCACTGGGACCTTCGGAAGAGCTCCCTATGGGGCCACGAAGCGTGTGAGGGGTTGCCGAAACGGGTGTGCGGGACGCATGCGGGCCCCCCCCCCCCGGGACCTTCGGTGGAGCTCCGTATGGGGCCACGAAACTTGTGAGGGGTGTGCCAAAATGGGTGTGCGGGACGCATGCGTGCACACCCACTGGGGCCTTCGAGGGGCTCCCTATGGGGCCACGAAACGTGTGAGGGGTGTGCCGAAATGGGTGTGCGGGACGCATGCGGGCACACCCCCTGGGACCTTCGGTGGAGCTCCCTGAGGGCCTATGGGGCCACGAAGCGTGTGAGGGGTGTGCCGAAATGGGCGCACGGGGCGCATGCGGGCACACCCACAGGGTTCTTCGGTGGGGCTGCCTATTTGGCCACGAAGCGTGTGAAAGGTTTACCGAAATGGGCGTGCGGGACGCATGCGGGCACACCCAGTGGGACCTTCGGAGGGGCTCCCTATGGGGCCACGAAACGTGTGAGGGGTGTGCCGAAATGGGTGTGCGGGACGCATGCGGGCACACCCATTGGGGCCTTCTGTGCAGCTCCCTATGGGGCCACGAAACGTGTGAAGGGTGTACCAAAATGAGTGTGCGGGACGCATGCGGGCACACCCACAGAGACCTTCGGTGTAGTTCCCTATGGGGCCACGAAACGTGTGAGGGGTGTGCCGAGATGGGTGTACGGGACGCATGCGGGCATACCCACTGGGACCTTCGGTGGAGCTCCCTATGGGGCCACGAAACGTGTGAAGGGTGTGCCAAAATAGGTGTGCGGGACGCATGCGGGCACACCCACTGGGACCTTCGGTGGAGCTCCGTATAGGGCCACGAAACGTGTGAGGGGTGTGCCAAAATGGGCGTGCGGGACGCATGCGGGCACACCCACTGGGACCTTCGGTGCCGGGCACATGACGCATGACACTGGGGCCTTCGGTGGAGCTCCCTATGGGGCCACGAAAAGTGTGAGGGGTGTGCCGAAATGGGGTGATGACGATGATGATGGTGAGGAGGAGGAGGAGGAGGAGGAGGAGGAGGAGGAGGAGGAGGAGGAGGAGGAGGGGAGGAGGAGGAGGAGGAGGAGGAGGAGGAGGAGGAGGAGGAGAGGAGGAGGAGAGGGAGAGGAGAGGAGGAGGAGAGGAGACGCGGGCCACCGTCTCTTCAAAACGAGGACCCAACACCACAGGATGCATGGGAAAAAAAGCAAGAGAGAGAGAGAGGAGGAGAACAAACGGTGCTGGGCGATAGCAGGATATGCCTTCTTCGTTATGTTGGCGATTGTGCGTTCTCATCTGTTCCCACTTGGCTTGCCCGCCCCTCCCCTCGACTCGGCGCGTCGCTTCATGTGCTCGCTCCTCCTCCGCCTCCTCCTCCTCCTCCCTCCTCCCTCCTCCTCCCCCCTCCTCCCTTCTCCCCCTCTCCTCCTCCCTTCTCCCCCATCCTCCTCCTCTCCCTCTTCCTCCTTTTCATTCCTCTTCCTCCTTCCTCCTCCTCCCCACTCCTCCCTTCTCCCCCCTCCTCCTCTCCCCCCTTCCTCCTCTTCGGTCCTCCTCCTCCCGGCTCCTCCTGCCGCCGCCGGGGGCTGGCGTGGGCGGGCGGCGTCCGCGGAGCCTCTTTGGCGCGCCTGCGCGGGAGGTGGAGGACGTGCACATCAAGATGCGGGACCGCCGCGGCCGCCCCCGCCAGCGCCCCGCGGGGCATCCCCCCGCGGCCGTGGCGGCCGGGCGAGGCGAGGAGAGCGGGGCGCCGGTGTGCCGCGCGGGCGCGCGGGGCGTCCGGGCGCGGAATGGGGGAAGGAGGAGGAGGAGGAGGAGGAGGAGGAGGAGGAGGAGGAGTAGGAGCAGGCGGCGGGATGGTGGTGGTGATGACGATGATGATGAATATGGTGAGGATGATAATACGATGATGACGGTGATGATGATGATGATGATGATGATGATGATGATGATGATGATGATGATGATGATGATGATGACGATGATGATGATGATGATGATGACGATGATGATGGTGATGCTGTTTTTGGGTTGCTGCTGATGACGGTGGTGGTAATGCTGATGATGCTGATGAGGACGATGGTGATGACGATGGTATTCATGCTGATGCTGATGATCATGATCATGATTATGCGGCTGCTGATGATGATGGCGATGATGATGATGATGATGATGATGATGATGATGATGATGGTGATGGTGATGGTGATGGTGATGGTGATGGTGATGGTGATGGTGATTGCGATGGCGATGGCGACGGCGATGGTGATTGTGTTGGTGATGATGATGATGCGGACGAGGATGAGGTTGAGGAGGAGGATGAGGATGAGGATGAGGATGCGGATGATGATGACGATGCTGAGGAGGAGGATGAGGAAGAGGATGAGGATGAGGACGAGGGGGATGATGATGATGATGATGATGATGATGATGATGATGATGATGATGATGATGATGATGATGATGGTCATGTCGATGCTGCTGATGCTACTGGTGATGCTGATGGTGATGATGCTGATGATGATGAGGGTAATGCGAGTGATGCTGATGGTGCTGGTGATGATGATGACGATGATGGTAGTTGAGGCGATGATGACTGTGTTGGTGGTGGTGATGTGTGTGGTGATGATGCTGGTGGTTGTGTATGCGGGGATGAGGCTGCTGATGATGATGATGGTGAGTATGATGACGATGGTGACTATGATGATAATGCTGATGATGATGGTGGTTGATGATGATGCTTTTGAGGTTTAGGATGGTGATGATGATGATGCTGCTGATGATGATGATGCTGATGATGATGATGATGATGATGATGATGATGATGATGATGATGATGATGGTGATGATGATGATGATGATGATGATGATGATGATGATGCTGATGATGATGATGATGATGATGATGATGATGATGATGATGATGATGATGAGGATGAGGATGAGGATGAGGATGAGGTTGAGGATGAGGATGCTCATGATGATGAGGGTAATGCTGATGAGGCGAAAGAGCGTGTTCTACCGCTGCTGGCGGAAAACCGGGGGGGTCACTACCGGTTCGAACACCCCTCCCCCCTCTCCGGAAAACCGGGGGGGGTCACTACGGATTCGAATCCCTCCCCCCCGCCCCCCCCAGTCCATCATGACCGGTTCGAGACCCCCCCCCTCGAAAACCGGGGGGGGTCACTACCGGTTCGAAATCCCCCTCCCCCCCCCCCCTCGAAAACCGGAGGGAGGGGTGCGGACAGTGGTGGGGACGGTGGTGGTGTGGACAGTGGTGAGGGGACAGCGGGACACTGGTGGGGACAGTGGGACAGTGATGGGGACAGTGGGGACGCTGGGGCAGCACAGTGGGACAGCGGTGGGGACAGTGGGATAGTAGTGGGGACAGCGGCACAGTTGTGGGGACCGTGGGGAAAGTGGGCAGAGCGGGAGCGTGGTGGGACAATGGTGGGGAGAGTGGGGACATTGACAGACTGGTGGGGGCACTGGTGGGGACAGCCCCGCCTTGCCTCTTCACGCCCCAAGCCCGTTTGCCCTCTTCCTGCCCCGCTCCCCCCTGCCCAAGTCCTCCTCCTCCCCCTCCTCCTCCTCCTCCTCCTCCTCCTCCTCCTTTTCCTCCTCTTCCTTTTCTTCCCCCTCCTCCTCCTCCTCCTCCTCCTTTTCTTCCTCCTCCTCCTTTTCTTCCTCCTCCTCGTCCTCCTCCTCCTCTTCAGCAACTACGACGTACTTTTCCGATCGAAGGTGGAAGGTGGGCAGTCGCCGAAGACAGCACAAATCGCATTATGTACTTGGAATGCCAGGGCGTTCTTGCGGTGGCGTGGTGTTCAGGCTATGGCGAAAGCCACGTGCCTTCATCAAGCTGGGATCACGAATGCCATCTTCGCCATCCAAGAGGTGCACCAAACGTTGGCGGAGCTCCAGTTCGTCATGTCGCGGATTGCCCCTTCGTCTTCAGTCTTTGGGTCATTTGAGGCAGCACGGGACGGTCATCGGCGAGGTGGCGTGGCGACGGTCGTACCACTTGCGCAGGATGTTGATGTTGTTGCTGAGCCGCTCGCTCTTATCCCTGGTCGTGTATTGCGCCTGGTTCTTCGTCGTGGGCATGTTGAGCTTCGGCACTACAATGTTCATAATCACGATCTGGAGCGTGGTGATGTGCTACAAGTCACGCAGAGTATCCAAGAAGACTATACCTGGGCTGCGGCGGCTCCGTCCACAAGGATGGTCGTGGTTTGTGGGGACTTCAACTTCTCCTCGCATGAGGCCTTGGACCTTACGGATCCTGCTCAAGCGCGAGATCTTCGTGTCACCAAGAATGCGAGAACACATATGAAGCTTTGGCTATCAGCGCTTGCGTCGTTCGTCGAAGTTGCCTCAGAGGACCCCACTCACTACTGCAGGGACTCCAAGACGGTGGCGCAGATTGATCGCATTTGGGTATCTGAACCTGGGTGGGTTGCTTGTCAAATTCAACACTCGGTTGCGGTTATCTCCACACCTGAAGAACTGTTCGATAGAGATGTCTCTGATCATGCTGCGGTCAGAGTTACCCTGTCCAACAGACGGCAGCGCAAGAAATACATCAAAACGGTACCCTCAGCCATCTACAAGTCCGTCGGCTTCTGCGAGCGACTCGGGCGTCTTCTTGATTACGAACAGCACACCTTTTGCTCGCTTTCACCGCCGCGTCAGATGGAACGCTATAAGGAGATAGTCAACGTGGCGGCTCTTGACTCGCTTAATCAGCTGTTGGTCGACGATCCTGGTTCCCTTGAGGCGCAGCGGATGTTCGCCCGACAGCTCGCTAGGGCTGTCTGGCGCCAAGACACACGGCTAGCCATGCGAGTGTGCAACGCCTCGGAGACTGCGCGAAGCTGTATCGAGATTGACGGCCCCCGAGTGAAGCTGGTCCAGCCAGCTGTCTTCTCGGCATGGGCCAACTCTGTCCAACTTGCAGCTGCTGATCATGAGCTTGAGGAGCTTCAGCATGCGGCGCTTCATGCTGTGGGACGGGCTCGGCCTTCTGCTGGGGTCCTTGCTGCGAAGACTCGCAAGGCGCGCCTGTGGGCACCGTTTGGCAAGAGGCTAACACTTCGGGCCATCTCCGTGGACAACTGTGCGCGCACCGATGCGATGGCCAAGCTGGGCGCGTTAGCAGCGGATTGGGCACTTATTTCGGCGCAACCCGCTGTGTATCCCAGAGCCACGCAGGTGTACGTCGACAGATGTGTGCAGTCTGGTCACTATGATGATATCCCTCCTCCGACACGTTCGTTACTTGGTCGAGTTCTGCGACGGCTTGCACCATCATGTTCTGCGCCTGGAATTGATGGCCTTCCTTACTCGGCGCGGGCTGCACACCCTGTGGGCGGTGACGTGCTGTGGAATGCATGCATGTGGCTGATGGATGGACAACGTCTCTTCTCAAACACTGGCGACGCACTTCAGGCCTTTCTTCCCAAGGGTAGTCAGGCGGGTGACGCCGATAGCAGGGGAGTCTCGCGCACACCTGATACGGTGAGGACACTCGGTCTGCGCAACACGGACATGAAGATCATCTCATCTACATTCAACCAGGCCATTGCTCCTATCATCCAGATGACGACGCCGGCCGCGCAGAGGGGCTTCATTGCTGGGCGGCAGCTTACATCCAACATCCTGGAGCTCGACATGATGGCGCGTGTGGCCTCGCTGCAGCCAGCGGTGCAAGAGCGGAACCCCTTGCTCGTCGCGCTCGACTTCGGCCAGGCGTTCCCGTCCTTGAGTTAAGAGTTTATCTTCGCTGTCTTGGATCGTATTCGCCTTCCGTGTGGTCTTCATGCTGCCATTCGCGGTCTGTATTATGTTGTGACCGCTGTGGGCCGTGTTGATGGGATCACCAAGCCGCTCTTTCGTACCTTTTGTGGAATTATTCAAGGTTGTGCGCTCAGTGGTAGCCTGCTTGCAGCGGCAACTTCACCGTTCTTGGAGGATATCAGACGTGGCCTTGAGGTCCCAGCTCGAGGTGTGTTTCGTGCCTGCGCTGACGATATCGGTGGCATTGTCTTTGATATGCTGGACCTCAAGTTCCTGGCTCGGGTGGTGACGGTGGCAGGGAAATTGACCAATCTCAAATTGAAGCCGCCCAAGTGCGTCCTGGCGCCGCTCGCAGACGCCTTCTCCGAGACCATCCAAACCAAGACGCAAGCCTTTCTTCAACAACATGTTCCTGGTTGGGCGGCTTTTAAAGTGGAGGCCATGCTGTCGCACTTGGGCGTCTGGCTTGGGCCTGCCGCTGTACCTATGAGTTCCTGGACTGGACCTTGGGCCAAATACGAGATGCGAGTTGGTGCGCTGGTCGCTTCGTCCGCGCCGCTGTCGCTGAATGCATTGAACTACGTGGTCCGTGCAGTGCCGACGCTGAGCTATGTGGCGCAATTCTTCGAGCTCCCCGATGGCATCCGCATGTTCGACATACACGTACTGGTTCGTCTTCTTCGCTTCCCTGGTGGTGCCTTGCGACTTGTCGACTTCTTTGCGCTGAAGGACTGGGGCGGGCCTAAGCTTCACAATATTGTCGCGATGTCAGAGGCTGCGCTTATTCGCTCTGGGCTATCCACGCATCCTGAGCACCAAGATTATCTGCGACTCTTTCGGCGTGCGTCTGAGCGGTGGTTTGTTCAT